TTCTATACCTGCACTTGCTTGTTTACCTTTATATATATGATCTTGCATGTGAACTGGCCTTGTGGCCTTGCTCTTGTGCTCGGACTGTGTGGTGACGTTGTGATCCACCCTGAGCTTGCCTTGCTTTGCTTGACTGGTCTTGTGACCCCTTGTTCTCCCCCACTTTGCCTATGGGGGTGTGTCAGGCATATATGCTACAGTCTGTGTAGGCTGTAGTGGGGCAGTTCATATGGGGTACAACACTTTAGGGTTTACTACTTGTACTCCTCATTCTGCTCAATGCATTCATTCCTCGTTTCTTATCAGTGGACGCCGTGGCGGTCGCTGAAGGTGGAGCTGCAAACATGAAGAACGAAGATAACGACAAGGACTCGAGCGACAATCGGTTCTCGTGTCAATTCTTCTTTGTGTCAACGCAAGCACCGGCAGTACCAGAGAAAGAGGAAGGCTCTGAGGAGCCAGCTGCTGTGGGAAAAGTCACTCTACACTTCCTGGACTATTGGGTGTTTGATTGTGGCGCTACCTTTAGCATGTCGCCTCGCACGGACTTGCTCACCGAACTTGAACCGTCACTGGTGAAGCATGTCACATCGCCTTTGGGGCAGCGAGCAGAGGTAAAAGGCATGGGCAAGGCCATGTTCAAGGGTGCTGATGGGAAGATGGTGGGCCTCAAGAATGTGCTTTGGGTGCAGCCAACCAGATTTCCGTGTGGCGGTTGCAAAAGGTCGGCATGGACACGAGCTCGAAGGGAGCCAAGACCTACACCGCAAGGCTCGGCGAGCGGATTCTTTGGGACCATCACGACGATAGGGATGTCTTGAACGAGATGTGGCAGATCCCTGTGGTCCCTATGTCGAAGGAGAAGCAAGTGGCAGCAAGCGTCAACACCAAGGGTGAAGCGGTTGGTAGCGGCTATGGCGCGAACGGTGGCGCCACGGAGAAAGAGTTCAAGAAGAATAAACTTGGAGGGGCCAGCAAGCTGTATGATCTAAAGGAGAGTGTTGCAGCAGATAAGGAGCAGCAGAAGGGTGAGGAGAACCCCAAGGAAGCAGCGGATGCAGAGTACGGAGAGAGCATGTGGGGCACTATTGCAAGTGCGGCATTCTCCAATCCGACTTCGGCTACTGGGGAGTGTGATTGGCTGACCTTGCATCCACGCATGGGACATGCGGCATTGCCCATCTTGCAGCAGCTAGTGAAGAATGAGATGGTGGCTGGCATACGTATGAAGGGGGAGCCCAATGAGGTGCTTGGCTGCCCGACATGCATGCATACGTGTACACCCTCATGACCTGGGTGTGCGTGCTGTCCAAGAAGAACGACGTGCCTGAAACGGTGAATACCGATTGGTTGCTGATGTTGGAGCGGCTACAAGAATGTCTTGTGAAATCAATCCGCACCACAAGGAAATCTCATTGTGGCTGAAGAAGAATAGCATAAGGCACTCCCTTACCATGCCATACTCCCCTGCAATGAATGGCATTGCTGAGCGAGCGAACCGGACAATAACGGAGACAGAACGCGGGTTGCTCATTGAAGCCGGGCTACCCGACTACTTCTGGCCAGATGCGGTGCAGAGTGCGTGTGTGGCTAAGAACAGAGGCTTGACTCATGTGGTAGCAGACGATTGGGTGCCCTATGTGGAGTGGATTGGAAGGAAGCCAAATGTGGATATGCTTCGGGTGTTCGGTTTCATGTGCATGGCGCTCGTGTCTAAGCATCTTCGGCACAACAAGCTTCGTGCTAAGGCGATATGGGCTGTGCATTTGGCCATGGCTCAAAGCAGCAAGGGATGGCTTCTCTAGGACAAATTCACCAAGAAGTTCTTGGTGAGCAGGGACTTCAAGTTAATAGAAAACCTGATGTACAAGGACTGGAAGGCGGAAAATGAGGAGAAGATAGGCGTGCGATTTGGGGAGGTAAAGGGTTTCGGCTTGGAGCATGTGGAGCTGCCTTTGGAGGTGAGTTGCGGCAGCACCATTACAAGGCAATCTCCTCTTGTGAATGGGGGAGAGGAGGCGGGGAATCGAGAGGAAGAGGGGGAGGAAGTGCAGCAAGTAAGCGAACGTGCACCGACGCTTCCACCTCGCACTACGTGTGCTCCACGGATTCGAGTCACCCCACAGCAACGCCATGAGAGCCTTCATGTCCCTGCAGCTGAGGAGGAAGGAAGGGGCCAGAGGAGAAATAAAGCCCCTAACAGGCACGTGGGAATTGGTGGAGCTACCGGAGGGGCGTAAGGCAATTACGTCCAAGTGGCTCTTAAAGATCAAGTCCGACGCCGACGGCAAAATCGAGCACTAAAAGTGTAGGCTTGTGGCCAAGGGGTACCAGCAGAAGGAGAAGGTGGACTATAAGGAGTTGTTTGCTCCTATGGTGAAACCGACAACGCCGCGAACCCTACTTGCGGGAGCTACCATCAAAGGATGGGTGGTGAAACAAATGGATGTGACAACGGCATTCCTCAATGCCGTCCTTGAGGAAGAGATAAGCGCAGCCAGAGGGGTTTGATGATGGTAGTGGCAACGTGTGGAAGCTGAAGAAGGCACTCTATGGGCTGAAGCAAACCCCTACGCAATGGTACTTGACGATGCGAGAAGTTTTGGAGGAGATCGGTTTCACTCCCTCATCGGCCGATCATTCCTTGTTCATGCTTGGCGAGGGGGAGCAGAGGAGTTTCATGGTGGTTTATGTGGATGATATCCTCATATTCTCACCCTCCTCTGAACTTGTGAAGGAGGTGATGCTGAAACTTCAAGACAAATTCAAGTGCAAGGCCCTTGGTGACGTGAACTTCTACCTCGGGCTTCATATCGAACGCGATGTGGAGAAGCGGTGGATGCGAGTGCATCAACGGAAGTACCTGGAGGCATTGGCTGCCAACTTTGGGCAGAGGGAAGGTCATGTGGCAACTCCCTTTGCCTCTGGGCTCAAATGTGTGAAGGGACCAGAGGAGGAGAGCGTTGGCGAAGAGGAGAGGCGCCGATTTGACCCGACCGGACATTGCCTTTGCTACGAGGCAGCTGGCAAGGGTTGTGCAATGCCCTAATGAAGAGCAGGTAGCAACTGGAATGAGGGTGGCCAATTATCTTGGTCAAACAATGACGGTTGGGCTGCAATACCCGGCGGCGGCGCAAAGGCGCCAAAAGGGTGCGGATGGTGTTGAGCCCTTTGCGTTTGTTCCTCACAGCCTTTTCTGATGCCTCGTATGCATCGGAACAAGAGGACATGACAAGTGTGGGAGGCTTCATTTGCTGTGTTGGTGGAGAGCCAACTGCTTGGCAGAGCAAGAAGCAGGTGGACCAAGCATTGAGCACGGTGGAGTCCAAGTACATGGCACTCTTTCGTGCCGTATGGGAGATTGTGTGGCTGCGGCGATTGTTGGCTGAACTGTAAGAGGAGCAGCAAGTACCTACCCCTCTCTATTGTGACAGCCAAGGTGCCATTGCACTAGCTAAGAACCTTGTGTTGCACGGCCTCGCTAAACACATGAGGGTGAAATGGCATTGGACGAGGAGCATGGTGGCCGCGGGTGAAGTTGAGTTGCACTACGTGAAGTCGACGGGGCAGCCAGTTGAAATGATGACTAAAAGGCTGGTGGAAAAGCAGCATTGGAATTGTTGCAAGCTGGTTGGGATGGCTCTGAACTGAGAGGAGCAGATCCTAAGGACAACAATCCGAGGGTGAGTTTGTTGGTGCAACCATATGGTTTGCACTCGGCTTGTTATCCGTGTGTGTGCATGCGTGTGTGCATCGAATGGTATGAGGGCATGGTGCACAATATATATTTCATGCTTATAAAAGTGTGTGAATGATGAGTCATGATGTTGAATGCATGTGTCGAGTCAATAGCGAGTTATCGCTAGTCGCGTGTCACGTCGTCGGTTGTGTGTCGTGCCCGTTTTCTATTTTGTCGTGTGTCGAACGTTCGGCGTGTCGCAGGTGTGAGCAGCAGACATTCAAGAACTCAAGGAGAAGTCTATGGTGAAGAACCAGAGCCTTGGTTTCAAGATCCAAGTGATTTCAAAGCTCGCCAAAAGGGTAAACTTCAAGATAGTAAGAATAGTTACATTACAAAGTGTAGTGTAACATTTCTCTTGGTGTAGGCCCTTGTGAAGGGTAGTTTCGAGACCCCTTCATGGTTGGAGACAGTGTTGTCAAACATTATATGTTTGTGCGGTTCTAGGCTGTAGTGGGTCACACCATAAGGGGTACACCAGATTAGGGTTTGACATATTTGTACTGTTGTTCCTGCTAGTCACTCCTCATTCTCGTTTCTCATTCTGACATGGTATTACGAGCCTAGGTTCCACCTAGGACCGAAACGATAGGGCCCACCGTTTCCGCTAGCCGCGCCCTCGTGCGCCGCCGTTCTTTTTCCTGCGCCTCAAGCCCCTCGTTCTCAAGGCCCCGTATGGCCCCGCGCTAGCCTCTCACGGCCCCCGGTCGGCCCCGCACTAGCCTCCTAAGGCCCCCGTCGGCCCCACGCTAGCCCCGCGCTAGCCTCCTAAGGCCCTCGATCGGCCCCGCGCTAGCCTCCTAAGCCCCCGTCGGCCCCACGCTAGCCCCGCGCTAGCCTCCTAAGGCCCCCGATCGGCCCCGCGCTAGCCTCCTAAGCCCCCGTCGGCCCCCACGCTAGCTCCGCGCTAGCCTCCTAATGCCCCCGTCGGCCCCGCGCTAGCCTCTTACGGCCCCCCCTTTGGCCCCAGCGCTAGCCCCGACCGGCCCTCCCGCGCTCGCCCCTCTACGACCGAGCCGCACGGCGCGACCCGAACCGAACCGCGCGACCCAGCCAAGCCGCGCCGCCCCAGCCGAGCCGCGCCGCCCTAGCCGAGCCGCGCCGCCCTAGCCGAGCCGCGCCGCCCTAGCCGAGCCGCGCCGCCCTAGCCGAGCCGCGCCGCCCTAGCCGAGCCGCGCCCTACTTACCTGTGCACAGCACTGCTACTGCTACTGCTACTGCTACTGCTACTACCACCACTGCTGCTACTGCCACTTCAGCTATGGCTAGCCCTACAGTTCTCTCGTTCGATTCTGAGGGCCGCCCGATTAAGTTTGATACCTGGCTCGATGATCTGCACCTGTTCCTCCAGCTCACTGCCAGAGAGGATATCTCGCTGTACGATCACGCACTAGGCACAGTCCCTGCTCCTGCTACTACTGCTACCGCTACTGCTCGCTCGCAGTGGCAGACTCGCGATGCCCACGCCCGCTTTGCTATTCGCAACTCCCTGCCAGTAGATGAGCGTGAGCACTTCGGCCAGCATCAGACCGCGCAGGCCCTGTACACTGCTGTAGTTGCGCGCTACTCCTCCCCGGCCTCAGCTGCACTAGGCCGTCTCTCCCTTCCCTACCTGTTCCCCGACCTGTCCGCTTTCCACACAGTCGCTGACCTCATCACTCACCTCCGTACTAGTGATGCCCGCTTCCGTGCAGCCATGCCCGCTGAGTTTCTTGCCTCCAACCCTCCCCCGCTCTGGCTCACTCTCTACCACCTAGTCACCCGCCTCCCTGACACTCTGCGTACAGTTAGGGACCACTTCCTAGCTCGCTGCCCCACTGAGCTCACCATTACCGCCCTAGAGAAGGAACTACTTGCAGCTGAGAAGAGTATTGTAGCTGTAGGTGCCTCTCGTGGCGACCCCCGCACCCCTTTCTTCGAGGGGTGTTCCCCCTCCCCCCTCCTCCCCTCTGTCGCCTCTGCTGCTGCTGTCGACCTTCTTGGTGCTGAGCAGGTCGGCTCTGCGTCCGCTCCCAGCGGGCGCCGCAGCGGCAAGGGCAGGGGAGGCAAGGGCGGTGGGGGTGACGGCGGGGGAGGCGGTGGTGGGGGTGGTGGCAGCGGCGGGGGCGGTGGCGGGGCTGGAGGGGCTAGTGGCAGCGGTGGGGGTGGTGGAGGCAGCGGCGGCGGCGGTGGCCGGGGTGGTGGCGGTGGTGGTGGCGGCAGTGGACGTGGCGGCGGCAGGGGCGGTGGTGGTCGTGGTGGAGGCGGCGGTGGTGGTCGTGGAGGCTCTGGCACTGGCCAGAGTGCGCAGCACCCTCAGTCCTCCCAGGAGCTTCGTGAGTGGTACTTACAGCACGGGGGTGGGGGGGGTAGCCTTAGCTGCACGTACGTCATCCGCACTGGTCGCCGCAAGGGACAGACGTGCGGGAGGGCGCACACTGCGCAGCGCTGCTTCTCTCGCCTAGATGACGCGTGGCGTGCTCAGTTTCCTGACGCTCCTGAGCTCCCTCAGTGGGCTGATCTCCTCAAGAAGGATATCGATATCTATGCTCTTGATTTTGATGTTATTCTCAAAGCAATGTATGCATTGACTATTAGTGGAGAGGAGGACCAGTACCTGAGTGTTCCGCCTGACCCAGGCATCCGCACGAGTGAGGCTGCCGCCCTAGGTGCTTGCGTGTCTGCTACCCCAGGTACTGGTGAGGCTACTGCTCTAGGTGCGTGTGTGTCCGCCACCCCAGGTACTACTGAGTCCACTGAGGCACTGCACACCTTCACTCTAGACTCAGGCAGCTTCGCGCTGTTTCTTTCGTGACCGCACTGCTCTTGAGCCCCTTGCTCGACCAGTCGCTGTCTCGCTCGCTGACCCCTCTGGGGGTCCGGTCATTGCGACCTCCTCCACTGTCCTTCCTTGTCCTGCTGTCCCGTCGGGCACACTGTCAGGTCTCCACCTCCCCTCGTTCTCTACGAACTTGGTGGCGGGTTGTGCGCTTCACGATGGGGGTGTTCACCAGTTCACCCCTGCCTACGAGCGTGTGACACACTGCACGTGTGCTCGGACGGGCCGTCACCTGGCTACCTTCACTCGGCAGCCGGGGTCGGACCTGTACACACTGACCACTGAGTCCCCTCAGGTAGCGGCGTCTGCGTCTGCGTCTGCGTCAGGTCAGCTCTCTGCCCCCTGCTCGTGTCGCTCTCTAGCGCACAAGACTGTCCTCTGGCACCACCGACTTGGTCACCCGTCAGTGCAGCGCCTTCGGGGCATGCACGCCCGGTACCTTGTCTCTGGTCTTCCTCGGGTACTCCCTCCCCTCCCACCCTCCCTTGCTCCTCCTTGTCTTCCCTGTGTCGAGGGGCGGCAGCGCGCTGCCCCTCACTCCTCCTCGTTCCCCCCGACGACTGCTCCTTTGCAGACGCTCCACATGGACGTGTGGGGCCCAGCCCGCGTCCGTGGTCAGGGCCAGGAGAGGTACTTCTTGATCGTCGTTGACGACTACTCGCGCTACACCACGGTCTTCCCCTTGCGCACCAAGGGTGAAGTCCCTGATGTTCTGATCCCCTGGATCAGCAGAGCACGTCTTCAGCTGCGAGAGCGTTTTCGCTCGGAGTTTCCTGTTCTGCGCTTGCACTCTGACAGAGGTGGCGAGTTCTCCTCCGACCTCTTGGCAGCCTACTGTGCCGAGCACGGCATTCGCCAGTCGTTCACGCTCCCGGCCTCTCCACAGCAGAATGGGGTTGCTGAGCGCCGCATTGGCTTGGTCATGGAGGTCGCTCGTACCTCCTTAGTCCACGCGGCTGCCCCCCACTTTCTGTGGCCGTTTGCGGTCCGGTACGCTGCGCATCAGCTCAACCTCTGGCCCCGTGTCTCCGCTCCGGAGACCTCGCCCACACTGCTGTGGACGGGGGAGGTTGGCGATGCGTCACGCTTCCGTGTCTGGGGATCCCGAGCTTTTGTTCGCGACACGTCTGCGGACAAGCTCTCCTCCCGCACTGCTCCCTGTGTCTTTCTTGGCTTTGTCCCGGATGCGTCTGGCTGGCAGTTTTACCACCCCGCCTCGCACCGAGTCTTCCCCTCTCAGGACGTCACTTTTGACGAGTCCGTGCCCTTCTACCGCCTCTTCCCCTACCGCACTGCCCCGCTCCCTCCCCCGCCTCTCTTCCTCGCGCCAGGTGCTGCAGTGGTAGACCCCCTTCCCCCTCAAGGTGCCGCTCCCTCAGGTGTCTCTCAGGTAGACCCGGTTGAGCCTGCCGAGGTAGCTGTCGACTCGCGTCCTGCTAGAGGTGCTGAGCCTGAGCGTGCGGAGCCTGAGCGTGCGGAGCCTGAGCGGGCGGAGCCTGGGGGTGCTGAGTCTGGGGGTGCTGATCCTGGGGGTACTGAGCCTGGGGGTGCTGGGTCTGGGGGTACTGAGCCTGGCGTTGCTGAGTCTGGGGGTGCTGCGCCTGGAGTTGCTGAGCGTGGGGGTGCTGAGCCTGGTGGTGTTGCAGTTGACTGTGAGGCGCCTGGAGGACCTCCCTCTTCGCAGCAGCTGCGTGAGTGGTACTCACGGTACTGCAGCCTCCGGCGGGGTGAGTCTCGGGCTCGTGGTACTGCTGGAGTTGGTACTCGTGCTTCCCCACCACGGCGGGAGCCGCCCTCTTCCCCTCAGCTTCGAGAGTGGTACGCTCGGCACATCAGTCTCTGTAGTGGAGCTGCTGGTGCTGGGGTCCCCGGAGTTGACGCTGCTGCGGGTGCTACGGACCCTGGTGCTGGAGGTGCTGCTGCTGCTGGCGGTGCTGCTGGAGGTACTGCTGCTGCTGGCGGTGCTACTGGAGGTGCTGCTAGTACTGAGGACCCGGGCGTTGGAGCTGCTGTGGGTGCTACGGACCCTGGTGCTGGAGGTGCAGCTGCTGCTGGCGGTGCTGCTGGAGGTACTGCTGCTGCTGGCGGTGCTGCTGGAGGTGCTGCTGGAGGTGCTGCGGACCCTGGTGCTGGAGGTGCTGCTGCTTCTGGAGGTGCTGCTGCTGCCGCTGGTGTCTCTGCTGGTTCGAGAGCTGCTGCACGGCCACGACCGTACTTTGTTCCGCTCCTTCAGCAGGTTCTTGGTCAGCCTCCTCCTCCTTGTTCTCCTCTCGCCTTAGAGTGTCCGCCGTCTGTCCAGTCACAGCCACAGTTACCGCCTGCCTCCCCACTCCCTGTGCCTGCTCCTTACACTGGTCCGACTGACGGTCTTGCTGAGAGACGTGAGCCTGCGTCACGTCCTGTGTCACCTGCGTCTCGTCGAGCGTCGCCTGTTCGAGCTGCTACCACTGGTAGTCGTGTCCCGCGTGAGCGTCCTCCTGCTGTCCCAGGCACACACCGGATGGCGCTTCGTCAGTCCACTGCTCCGCAGCGTGTTGCTCTCCCGTCGCCTCCTGCGTCCTCTCTTTCTGCTCTTGCTGACCCGGAGTCAGACTCCCTTCGTGCTGCCAGTCCTACTGTCACACGTCTCCTGGCTACGGTTGTCACTGACCCTTCCTTTGAGTCCGCTGCTGCGTTTGCCCTAGTCACTAAGCTTGTCGACTTTGCAGCTGCGTGTCGTCTAGACTACGCAGCGAGTCTTGTTGCTGAGTCTGAGTCTGCGTGTCCTCCGTTCGTCGGGGGTGAGTGTGCTCTTGGCACGGACGTCCTTGAGGACAGGCAGGAGGAGTTTGGTTGCCTTGCCGCTGCTTTGCCCCATCTCGTGTCCATGCTTGTTGCCCCTGAGGGAGACCCGGATGCACCAGACATCCCGACCCCACGCTCTTACGCAGAGGCGATGGCCGGTCCCTACTCCTCTCAGTGGCAGTCAGCCATGGACACAGAGATGGCTTCCTGGAAGTCCGCAGGCACCTACGTCGACGAGGTTCCCCCACCTGGGGCGAACATCGTCAGTGGCATGTGGATTTTCAGGGTGAAGCGGCCGCCGGGCTCTCCGCCTGTCTTCAAGGCGCGTTACGTTGCACGAGGCTTCAGTCAGCGAGAGGGAGTTGACTTCTTCCAGACCTTCTCCCCGACCCCGAAGATGACCACTCTTCGGGTTCTGCTACACGTCGCTGCTCAGCGTGACTACGAGCTCCACTCTCTTGACTTCAGCACAGCTTTCTTGCAGGGCAGCCTGCACGAGGAGATCTGGCTGCGCCGCCCACCTTGCTTCACTGGGTCGTTCCCTCCTGGCACCCTGTGGAGCCTCCGGCGGCCAGTCTACGGTCTCCGCCAGGCGCCGCGTGAGTGGCACGACACGCTGAGGTTTACACTTTCGGCTCTTGGGTTTGCTCCTTCTACTGCTGACCCGTCGCTGTTTCTGCGCACCGACACCTCGCTGCCGCCGTTCTACATCCTCGTGTACGTCGACGACTTGGTCTTTGCCACTGCGGACACTGCCGCACTCGCCCACGTGAAGTCCGAGCTGCAGAAGAGACACACGTGCACAGACCTGGGTGAACTGACAAGCTATCTTGGCTTGCGGATCACCCGGGACAGAGCACGCCGCACCATTACCCTGACTCAGTCACACATGGTGCAGCAGGTCCTTCAGCGCTTTGGCTTCACGTACTCCTCGCCTCAGTCCACTCCTCTGCCTACGGGTCACTCGCTCTCAGCTCTGCCTTCGGATGAGTCCGTAGAGTCGAGTGGTCCGTATCCAGAGCTTGTGGGCTGCCTCATGTACCTGATGACCTGCACTCGACCTGACCTAGCATACCCTCTCAGCATCTTAGCACGCTATGTTGCTCCCGGCCGTCACCGGAAGGAGCACATGGATGCAGCTAAGAGGGTGTTGCGCTACTTGTGCAGTACGTCGGGCATGGGGCTAGTGCTTGGAGGGCGAGACCGGCCTGTTCTCACTGGGCACTCAGACGCTTCTTGGGCAGACGACCAGGCTACTCAGTGGTCGTCTCAGGGTTACACCTTCAGTCTTGGCTCTGGCTCTGTCTCTTGGCGTTCTACTCGTTCTTCTTCTGTTCTCAGCTCCAGCTGTGAGGCTGAGATCTACGCCACGGCCATGGCTGCCCAGGAGCTTCGCTGGCTCACCTACCTGCTGACTGACCTTGGAGAGCAGCCTCGTTCTCCTCCAGTGCTGTACGTCGACAACAAGGCAACCATTGCCTTGTGCCAGGAGCACAGACTGGAGCACAGGACGAAGCACATTGCTCTGCGTTACTTTCTAGCTCGAGAGCTACAGCAGCGTGGTCAGCTTCTTCTGCGTTACGTGGCCACTGAGGCCAACACTGCTGATGTGTTCACCAAGGCGCTTCCGCCTGTTGACCATCAGCGTTTTTGCACTCTTCTAGGCCTTGTGCCGACTGTTTCTCACTTACTTACTTCTTGACTTTACCTGTACTGTGATCATTATATATATACCTGCATGTTTGCCTTGTTAGGTTGTGATCATTGTACCTCTTGCTCTATTATAAAACTGCATGTGAACTGGTCTTGTGACCGCTTGCTTGTGCTCGAATTTGTGTGGAATCCTCGAGATCCACCCTGAGCTTGTTTGCCTTGTTTTGCCTTGACTGGTCTTGTGACCCCTAGGTCTCCCCACTTTGCCTATGGGGGTGTGTCAAACATTATATGTTTGTGTGGTTCTAGGCTGTAGTGGGTCACACCATAAGGGGTACACCAGATTAGGGTTTGACATATTTGTACTGTTGTTCCTGCTAGTCACTCCTCATTCTCGTTTCTCATTCTGACAAGTGTGGCACTGTTCCACATCACTGTACCTTGACTCTTGGGGTTTGTAGAGGCTGGGAGTTATTCCCAACTCGCAACTCTTCCTAATTGTATTCTAAGACTATAGTGGCTGCCATAGTGCCGTTCGTTCAAACTGACGTTGCGTCGTCAATACTGGATAAAATCGTGCGATGTAATTTGCCTATTCTAGGCAACTTAAAGAAGCTCAAGATCCAAGTTAAAGAAGGTCATTTAAAGCTGTGACCATAACGTTATCAACTTTTGAAGCCGCTGTGCAGAAATCCGACTGTGCACTCTATCTTTCGTTTTAAGGTAATTTGGGCCTAATGTGACTATAACAAACGTTGGAGTCTGGAATGTGCTTGTAAGGGGGATGTTGGGGAAAGAAATTGAATGGTGTGACATCCGTTGTATCTGCATCCTCAGTCACGTTAGCCTTATCCTGTGATGTAGCGAAGCTGCGGTGCCCCTCAAAAACCCTTTCCGGTGCCTTGTCAGCTTCGCGGTGTTTCTTGAACAGTGGCAGGATCAGCTTCTCGTAAAAGATGCAGTCACATCATTTTGTCATTTCGTGTGTCACGTAGTCCAGCACGATCCACGTCTTAAATTCCTTTTCAATCCCCATGTGAATGCCCCAGCACGCTCTGTCAGCAAATTTTCCCGTTGTTGCCGTGTAAGGCCTGTACTGTACCATGCAGCCAAAGACCCGAAGCAGACGCATGTCTGCTTTTCTGCCCGTCCAAGCCTTGTAGGGAGAGGTGTTATTCTTTAGGCTTCGGGACGAGACAGTAGGACAGCATGGTTCATCGCGAACGGCCAGTACCTTGTTTAGATGCCAAACTGTTTCATCAGGGCTCTCATTCTTGTGGCGAGGCGCCTATTTTTCCTTTCCGCTACTCCTTGCTGCTCGTGAGCATAGGGCATAGACACCAGGTGCCGAATTCCCTTTTTGGCAAAAATTTCCTTGAATTCAGTTGAGAAGTACTCCAAACCCCCGTCTGTCTAGAAGCTTTCCGGCTTCAGTCCGGATTGGCGTTCGGCGCGCTTCATCAATGTGACGAAGTAGTCGAAGGCTCGCGAGCGATAGCCGATGTTGACGGCCCAGACGTAGCGCGTGCTAAGCGTCGATGAAGGTCATCGTGTTGTTTTCTTCGTCGAGCCCCTCCTGGCTAAGCATCATAAAGTCGCTCTAGACTTTCTCAAGTGGTTCGTACCATTCATAGCCTGGAGGTAAGTCCGGGAAGGGCTTGTGAGCGAGCGATGCTGTAGGGCAGACGAGGCACGGTGTGCCGTTGGAATTCCACAAGGATTGAACCCGTGAGCTATCCACGAGCCGGGTCAGCAGCAGATCCGGCTCATCAACATTGTCTCTACTTTGTCTTTTCAGCCCGCCGGCTTGTCAAAACTCAAGGCGAGCCGGCTCAGCCCAGGCGAATGCTCTTGTGGCTGAGAAGAGCCTTACAAGAATGCCTGATATGGTAGAGAGCCAATTTCCACAAGGATTGAACCTATGAGCTGATTACTCTTGAGGGACCTGCCATTGCGTACAAGTGCAAGAAGGAAGAACCAGACCACCAAGTGGGGTTTTACTGTGGGCAGAAGGAAGGGATTTTTCCATCAAGAACTAGGACGCGGAGAGGAATGCTGGTGAATCTTATATGAAACTAGGGCAGTAAGGAGAAAGAGGTGAGGTGGTGACTCAAAATGCATGGGGCACACACACCAATTGAACCACATGTGAACCACACCAGAACCATTGAGAATACTAGATGAAGGGGTATAAACGGGGTTTGTACTGTACAAATTAATCCATGCATGCGTGCACATCTGTATCACGTCACCCCCTTATGCTGTTAGTTCACGCCCAACATGAGAAAAGCTTTGCTGTGAAAGGAAACTAACAGCGCTGTAACTAACAGGTCAGAAATTTTGGGTGACTATGCTGATGGCAGCAGGTATGCTGTTAGACAGTTGTTTGCTTGGAACGTCTGTGAGCGAAAATCAAAATACAAAATAGAAAGCATCAATAGGGTTATATGGAGGTTGGAGGATGCAAGAGATCTCAGAACTAAAAAAATGGCGGGACATCAATGCGGTTGGGGTAATATGAAGGGTGGATAGCGAATGAAGATTATTGTGCCTTGGAGAGGGAAGAGACGAGGCAAGGCGCTAGAAGAATGTGAAACAACACGAGCGATGGAAATATGACATTACCGCTGGACATGAACATCAAATCAAACCTTAGCTTGGTTCGATCGAAGAGGTTCGACCGCGGGCAAACTGAGCTTCTGAAATAGATCTGGCCACCTTGCACACCATACCTAGTCAACCATTAGGGCAGCATATTCCCTCTCCCTTTTCCCCCCTTTCCTCCAGTCCCCAGTTGTTTGTTCTCCCCTGCCCTATGTGGATGCGGGTGAGTCTAGTGGGCAGAATCGTCGGATCGGGTCACGTTTTAACGCGACCCGACCCAAATTTGAGTCGTGGCGGTCTGTCTCACGGGTCAGCGTGATTAGCAAGATTTGAGTCTTGTATCAACCGTGACCAGAAAGCTGACCCGTCACCACCGGATCGGCTATACCCGACCCGTACCATCGAGATGAGACCCGACCAGTGGGGTCTTTATGCTCATGCCGACTTGCACTTGGTTTGGCCCTATATTACATAGATGCCTCTTAAGTACTTGAGGGGGAATTTATACATTAGGTAATGAACTCAAGGCGCTTAAGCACACATTGGTGTACTCAAGGCACCAAAATGGGCAAAAGAGGGAATGGGCAACCGAACACATTTGAGTTCAAGTCAAACACAATGGTGTTCGACCCAAACACCAAAGCGTTCCACTATACACTCGAAGACACTCGAGCACCTATTTTCATTATTGGCTTGATCCAAATCGAACGCGTTTGGTTGCATCATTCAACCTACCGTCATCGCCCGGATAGTAGACAGTGTTGAATAATAGACAGGGGTTGTCTATTATCCGGGTCTCTTATAAACAGGCTAGCCTCATTATAGGACACCAATTTGTGTGTACGAGTTAAGGGTGTGTAGGGGTTAGGGGCAATTGTATAACGAGGGGGTGTCTTCTAAACGGTTTTTTGTCCATTTATAAGATTTATAAGACACCCTAAACCTTCCCAAATACAAGATAACCCAAGCATGTTCAGTAGTGTACGAGATAAGACATATATGTCTACTATCCGGGCGATGACGGTACCTATCTTATGAATGTACCTTTAGTTTCCTAACTTAACTAGTTTATGAGAACAAGAGTGCTTTATGCTGAATCAGTGCAAAAAGGGCAAAATCTTAGGGTCATCATGGTACACAAATGAACTTGGACCCTACACTACCAACACACTTCTTCTTATTGTAGACATAGTATTTTGAAATCCCTCCATTTGCAGCTCCACCATAAAAGCTATAAGCACCCGAGCATGTCAATGACGGTGACACTGGTATTTGCCGACCCTTCTTGCATATGCCAACAATGAATGCCCAATACTCTGCCCTTAGGCAAATCTGCAATGGTGACATTCACAAAAACAACAGAAAAAGGAACATGTATCAGTTGGAAAAAAATATTCTCTTTGGCATATGCAGAATGATTCTTGACCACTCACCCGTCCAATGTACATTCAGTCCACCAGTTTTCCCTCCATCTTTTCCTCCTATTGCGCCCCCCATCCCAGTTCCCCTCCAACCCTCACCTGTACGCCAATGTTGCTGCCAACAGCAGATGCGGAGGCTGGGATGACATAGGAGCAGATGAGGCCAGGATTGTTGCAGTACAGCTCAGCCCAGCGCATGGCATTCACCTCCCCAGCCCCTGTTGGGTCACCCTCACTCCCCGCCACCTGCCGCAGCAGGCGCTCGCACGTGTCCTGTGGTGTGAGCACGCCGTATCGCGAGCACTGAGGGACGGTGAAAGCGAAGGTGGCGTTGCGCTCGACGCACAGAGAGCGGCCCGCCTTGATGGGCTCAAAGCAGTCGAGGCCGGGATTGAGAGCAGTGAGGTTGCTACTGGTGAGGCCCAGCTGCGTGCTGATAGACCAGCATGTGTCACTCTGAAGGGTTGAAGTATGGGAGAAAAGGCACAGATGCATGCGGTGAATGAAGTACTGTTTATTATGGCCTTTTCAGATTAGGCTGAGACGATAAAGACTGCCTTGCTGAGCTGACACGAAACAGAGGACAAAGCTCATGGTGAGTGTGTATAGGATAGCTTTAGGGGGTTTGAACAATAGGAGAGAAGGTATAATACGTAAGCACTGGAGGCAAAGCAGGACGTCTGTACTTCGTGCAATGCTGAAGTAGCCTGGGTTGCTAGAATATTATTGATTGGCCAAGGGCAACAAGGCCTGAAGCTGACGCTGATGGTGTAGAAGAATGCGGTGCAGGGAATGAGGAGGAAATTCCTCAGCTGAAGCACCACGTTACGAGGCAAAGGACGACTGCAGCCAATGGCCTGCAATGAGGAGCACAAACATTTTAGAAATTGAAGTATAACCAAGTTGCGGATTCTTTGGGACTACTGCGTGCAATAAAATCAGCCAATAAATTTGATCCTCTGGACATTGGAGCTCATGCTTTCCTGCTGTATCACCATCTCTGCCTACACCTCCACTCTTCCAGAATCGCCACCTCTATTGCTTACCGGATTATTCTGCGTGAATTGTGCAAATGAGAGGCCCACAAGAGGGAGGACATTGGAGCACCACCAATTGCTTCCACTCACTGCCAGGATGCTGGCCGTGGTGTTGGCTGAAGAAAGATGACATAGAAAGAAGGGGAACACGCCAAGCAGAGGGGCTTAACTGAAAACCAGCTTACTAGTTTATGTACAGATCAAACTGCAGACAATCGAACTGCAGCCTTTTTTTGGCCGTCCGGATCAATTAGAACCAATTCAGTTTGACATCAAGCCGACCCAGTTCGGTGATTTTCTCATGGATACTGAGGAGCACAAGTAGTTTGAGAGGGTCGTGCGTGATGACCCCAACATTTGGTACAATAATACGTGAAAAGAGTAGTGAGCTTCTTGCAAACAAGGCCAAAGCAGCAGCACCTGGGTCGCAGGTCTGGAAGCTGTCAATGGTCATGCTTTCAACGTACTTTGGAGGGCAGATGCAGAAGTAGGAGCCCTTGCCGTTGTTGATGCATCTGCCCACATAGCAGGGGTTCTTCAAGTCAGATCCACACACGTCCAATGGCAAGCGATGCGAAGCACAATTGTGGAGTACAGGGATGAGACAAGAAGAGATATACATGGATTGAGAGAAATGAAAAGAGTGGATGGAGGGAATGGAGAGATTTTTAGAAGCCCAAGATATCGATAGACAGTGGCTTGGTTGAAGAAATCTTTGACGAACAAACCAGACCACTGTTTTGACAATGGCCATGGATGAACATCTTTGTTTGAGAATGAAACAACTTACAATAGGCACATGTTTGAGAGCCATATCCATTTGCACTTGAACGAATGGTTTTTTCGCTTCATTCATAAGCCAGCAGTTACACGAGTTGGTGTTACTGCGCAGGTTAGCTCGGCATGTGAACCGCCCACACGGGTTCATGCTGGGCTGCAAGTCGCCGTCACCCTTGAAGCTCCTCTGGCCGCACGGGTCCTTGGGAACTGGAGGGTGGTACAGACAAGAACAAGAGAAAACGGGTGCAAATACAGCTTCATTGAAAAAGACATCGTGCAGGAATGAGCAAGGTCAGCCAAGTGAGAGGTGTAAGGTTTGGAAACCGTGAGTTGGAAATTCACCATCTTACGAACGTGGTCAGCACTGGCTCACACGCTCTTCTCTCTGTTGACCATGTCTCCACTCCACCCTACTACATGACTGTGATTTACATCTTGTTCTGTGCCTTTCACACTGGACCAGTCACTATTGACCCTATGATGTGATGTTCTTGAATTGAAGGGATGAGGAAATAGAGATACGACGGGGGAAGTTTCTTCACTCAGCGGTGGGTGCCTCACTCTTGACAATGGGCTAAATGCCAGGCAGTACGTTTATGCCACACACGCCATCACCTCCCTGAATGTCCATATGCATGTGGCCCCTGTCACCCCACTCCACTCCCCAAGAATTGCGGATAATCCAGAATGGAGGCGCAATGCAATTTTGGCTGCCATCATTTCTGAAGATAAAGTAGCCAACAACGAGTACAGCGTGGTTCAGTCTGCCGGTGTAGCAGCCAAGGTCTGAAGCGATAGGGGGACATCACAACAAAAATGGGAATGGGTGTTAAAAAATGTACAGATTGATGTGGGTAACCACTGTTCTAAAACAAATTTCAACGTATGCACATCATACAGGGTCCATACAGGCACCACCTGTGAAGAAATGAGGAATGAATGAACTAGCAAGCAAGTGGGTACAAGTAGGAAAACCTAAAAGTGTTGTACCCCATATTGTCTACCCCACTACAGCCTACATAGAATATAGCATATGAGTTTGACACACCCCCATAGGCAAAGTGGGGGAGAAAAAGAGGTCACAAGACCAGTCAAGCAAAGCAAAGCAAGCTCAGGGTGGATCACAACGTCACCACACATTCCGAGCACAAGTTCAAGGCCACAAGGCCAGTTCACATGCAAGATCATATATAAAGGTAAACAAGCAAGTGCAGGTATAGAAAGATCACAGTACAAGCAAGGTCAAGAAGTGAGCAAGTGAGGCCAAGTAGGCACAAGACCTAGCATCGTACAGAAGCGCTGATGATCACAAGGCGGAAGTGCCTTGGTAAAGATATCAGCAGTGTTGGCCTCAGAGGCCACGTAAGCAAGGCGCAGCTGACCACGCTGCTGCAGCTCACGAGCAAGGAAGTAGCGAAGAGCAATGTGCTTTGTTCTGTGCTCCAGTCTGTGCTCCCGACACAAGGCCAGCATGGCCTTGTTGTCTACGTACAGAACTGGAGGAGAAGGAGGCGGCTCTCCTAGGTCAGTAAGCAGGTAGGTGAGCCAGCGTAGCTCCTGTGCAGCCATGGACCTCGCGTAGATCTCAACCTCACAGCTGGAGCCGAGAACAAAAGACGAGCGGGTAGACCGCCACGAATCAGAGCTGGAGCCAAGGCTGAAGGTGTAACCCTGTGACGACCACTACGTAGCCTGGTCGTCAGCCCAAGAAGCGTCTGCGTGACCTGCGAGGACCACTGAGCGTCGCCCTCCAAGCACTAGCCCCATGCCCGACGTACTGCACAAGTAGCGCAACACCCTCTTCGCTGCAGCCATGTGCTCTGGTCGGTGTCTCCCAGGAGCAACATAGCGTGCCAAGATGCTAAGAGGGTATGCAAGGTCAGATCGTGTGCAGGTCATCAGGTACATGAGGCAGCCAACAAGCTCTAGGTACGGGCCACTCGGCTCTACGGACTCATCCGAAGGCAGAGCTGAGAGCGAGTGGCGAGTAGATAGAGGAGTGGCCTGAGGCAAGGAGTACGTGAAGCCGAAGCGCTAAAAGACCTGCTGCACCATGTGCGACTGAGTCAGGGTAATGGTGCGCTGTGCTCTGTCCCAGGTGATCTGCAAGCCAAGGTAGCTGCGCAGTTCACCCAAGTCTGTGCACGTGCGTCTCTTTTGCAGCTCGGACTTCACGTGGGCGAGTCCAGCAGTGTCAGCAGTGGCAAAGACCAAGTCGTCGATGTACACGAGGATGTAGAATGGCCGCAAAGAGGTGTCGGTGCGCAGAAATAGCGACGGGTGGGCTGTAGAAGGAGCAAACCCAAGAGCCGCAAGTGTAGTCCTCAGTGTGTCGTGCCACTCACGGGGTGCCTGGCGGATACCGTAGACTGGCCGTCGGAGGCTCCACTGGGTACCAGGAGGAAACGACCCAGTGAAGCCAGGTGGGCGGCGCAGCCAGATCTCCTCGTGCAGGCTGCCCTGCAGGAAAGCTGTGCTGAAGTCAAGAGAGTGAAGCTCGTAGTCGCGCTGAGCGGCTATGTGCAGCAGCACCCGAAGAGTGGTCATCTTCGGGGTGGAAGAGAAGGTCTGAAAGTAGTCAACTCCCTGCCGCTGACTGAAGCCTTGAGCCACGTAACGCGCCTTGAAGACAGGCGGAGAACCTGACAGCCGCTTCACCCTGAAAATCCACATGCCACTGACGATGTTCGCCCCAGGTGGGGGAACCTCGTCGACGTAGGTGCCTGTGGACTTCCAGGAAGCCATCTCTGCGTCCATGGCTGACTGCCACTGTGAGGAGTAGGGACCCTCGATCGCCTCAGCGTACGATCGAGGAGTCGGGATGTCTGGTGCATCCGGGTCTCCCTCAGGGGAAATCAGCGTGGACACGAGATGAGGCAAAGCAGCAGCAAAACACATGGAACTCCTCCTGCCTCTCCTCAAGGACGTCGATGCTCAGAGCACACTCACCCCCGACGGACGGAGGACAGACAGAGTCAGACTCAGCAACGAGACTAGCGGCGTAGTCTAGACGGCAGACGCAACAGTGGACTCAAAGGAAGGGTTAGTGACAACGGTAGCGAGAAGACGCGTGACAGTAGGACTGGCAGCACGAAGAGAGTCAGACTCCGGGTCAGCAAGAACAGGAAGAGAGGACTCTGGAGGAGACGGCAACGGGACACACAGAGGAGCAATGGAAGGACGCAGTGCCATCTGGTGTGTGCCTTGGACGCAGCACCTAGAGCAGCAGCCTCACCAGCACCTAGAGCAGCAGCCTCAATGCCCGGGTGAGGCGAAACACACAGGTAACAGTCACCCTCATCACTAGTAGACACAACATACATGGCAGCAAGAATAGCATCATAATCCAGATCAAAGATAGCTACCCCCGACCTAAGCAGCTCTCCCCAGCGGGGGATCTCAGTGGCGTCAGGGAACTGGAGACGCCAAGCGTCCATCAGGCGGCTGAAGCAGCGCTGGGTGGTGTGCGAGCCACCGCACGGCTCACTTGTGCGGTCGCCGGTACGCAGGACGTAGGCACAGGGACCAGCATGCCCACCCCGCTGACGCGCAGAGTACCACTCACGAAGCTGCTGGGGGGGCGGGGTCTCACGAGTGCGCTGCTGCTGCTGGCGCTGACCACCACTGAAGCCACCCCGCTTGCGCAGAGCCACTCGGACTAGCTCCACCTCCTCTGCCGCCACCTCCGCCACCGCCGCCACCGCCTCCTCCTCCGCTCCCACTGCCACCGCCGCCGCCGCCTCCGCCTCCACCGCCGCCACCGAAGCCCCCACCCCCGCCACCACTCCCACTACCACCCCCACTCCCTCCGCCTCCTCCACCGCCACCTCCACCGCACCCACCAGCCCCTCCAGCGCCCTTGGCCCCCTTGCCCTAGCCGGTGCGGCGTCACCCGCTAGGGGCAGACGCTGCGCCGATCAACTCGGTGCCAACGAAGTCGACGGCAGCAGCAGAGGCAACAGAGGGCAAAAGGGGGGAGGGGGAGCACCCCTCAAAGACGGGGGCACGAGGGTCACCACGAGAGGCTCCTACACCGACTATACTTTTCTCAGCTGCCAGGAGGCGCTCCTCGAGGAGGTCAACGGTGAGTTTGGTGGGGCAAACAGAGAGGAAGTGTTCCCTGACCGAGCGAAGGGAGTCAAGGAGGCGGGTGACTATGTAGTAGAGGGTGATGTACATGGGGGGGGGGTTCTTGGCGCAGAACTCAGCAGGAAGCGCAGCGCGGTAGCGGGTGTCACTTGTGCGAAGGTGCGTATTGAGGTCAACGACAGTGGGAAAGGTGGCAAGGTCAGGAAACAGGTACGGCAGCATGAGGCGGCTAAGGGCTGCAGTGGCAGGGGAAGAGTAGCGTGCAACTACAGCATCGTACAAGGTCTTAGCACTCTTGTACTGACTAAAGTGCGCGCGCTCAGTGGACGGCAAGTGACTACGCACAGCAAGACGGGCAGCAGCATCGCGTGTGGCCCACTGTGAGCGAACAGTGCTATCAGCATCGGCAGCAGGGGCAGTAGAGGCGCTAGACGTGAGATCGAACAGGGATACACCGTCCTTCCTATCGCAGTGTAGGAAATGCTGTAGATCATTGACCTAGACCTCAAAGTCAACAGCCCGACCCTCAGCATCAAAGACTAGAACACTAGGGGTAGCCATGAAAGCAGTGGCAGCAGGCTAGGGGCAGCATTAGCAGGCGTGGTATGTAGTGCTCGGCACTGCTCTCACCAGGGCTGGTAGGTAGGGGCCGGCAAGCGGTGGGGCAGGGCCGAGGCGCGTCAGCAGGGACAGAGCCGCGACCGTGGTGGCAGCTCCTGCTGTCAGTGGCGGCGGCAGTCGCTGCTGCTAGTGGTGGTCGCCGCTGTGGTCGGATGCTGCTGGCGGCGGCGGCGGCTGCTGCTGGCGGCGGCTGCTGCTGCTGGTGGAGGAGCCGAGGAGGGGCCGGGAAGCGGCCAGGAAGGGTGGCGACGAGGCCACGAAGGGCGGCAATGGGGCCGAGAAGAGGCCGCGAGGGGCCGTGAAGGGCGGCGACGGGGCCGCTAGGGGCGGCGACGGGGCCGATAGGGGTGGCGACGGGGCCGATAGGGGCGGCGACGGGGCCGATAGGGGCAGCGACGGAGCCGCGAAGGGCGGCGACGGGGCCGCTAGAGGCGGCGACGGGGCCGCGAAGGGCGGCGACGGGGCTGATAGGGGCGGCGACGGGGCCGGGAAGGGTGGCGACGGGGCCGCTGGGGGCGGCGACGGGGCCGCGAAGGGGCCGCGAGGGGCCTAGCAGGGCGGCGACGGGGCCGCGAAGGACAGCAATGGGGCCATAACGGGCGGGGACGGGGTCGCGAGGGGCCGTGAGAGGGGCCTCTAGAAGGGCGCGACGGGCCACTAAGGGCAGGGGACGCGACGAGAGGGCGGCCCACGGGGCGCGCCTCGGGCAGGGGCGACTCGCGCTCCGGTCAGAAAAATAGATTTTCGGTTTTCAGTGGTGGGCCCTGGGAAGCGTTCTCATTAAGGAACCTGCTCTATACCATGTGAAGAAATGAGGAATGAATGAACTAGCAAGCAGGTGGGTACAAGTAGGAAAACCTAAAAGTGTTGTACCCCATATTGTCTACCCCACTACAGCCTACACAGACTATAGCATATGAGTTTGACACCACCCACCCCGTCATATTGCGCGAATTCCCGAGCAGATGCCTCTATGTGATCCACCACTGGCTGTCGTCGAACTGCCAGCATGAGCCCCACAAACCCCTTGAACCGAGTGCGCTCAAAGCCGTGAACAGAGTACTTCTTATTTTGAATGTCGATAAATCAAAGGAAATTTCACATGTTCGAAGGAAGAGAAATGAACACAATGAGATAACCCAATCAAATGTAGAAAATGGTTTGCTTGCTCAATATGCATGCAACAAGTAAAGACTAACCTGGTTAACCTTGCCAATTCTAGCAAGCAGTACTAACCAGATCTTTACAACATACATTATATACTCATGTAACTTGAATCGTGTCAAAGATGGGCTCTAAGTTGTAAAACGAAAGAGCAAGAGTCACATTTTTGCAGATATATTGCAAATAATGTTCAATACTGTAATTCAAATATGCATTTAACACACGAAGATTTCACCTTTTCCGGTTTAAATCAATTTTATTCACCATACCTCTAATCGTCATAGTTCTAATCATTTCTCACAGAATGGTATATATCCTCAGCCACGTGCTATGTTGGAATATACGCGACTGGCGTACCAGTCGCGTTCGTACTATACGCCAATGTACGTAAGTCATACGATGGAGTTCTGCCCCCTCGATACGCTCAAAATACGGTGTCCCGGGCAGGAGAAAACAAGTTTCGGGCAGGGGAAAAAGTATCAGGGAGTGAGTGATGTTTGCCGATCTGCGCAATTCTACTAGCGGAACACTAGAATCGCGCCGATCTACTAGCGGAACACTAGAATCGCGCCGATCTGCTAGCGGAACACTAGAATTCTGTGGATCTGCTAGAGAAATACTACAATCGCGCAGATCTGGTGGCAGAATGCCAGATCTGCGCCCATCTGGCTACTTGCGTCCGGCTGCGACATTAGCAGTCGACATAGGTTTTCGAAGCTGCCGACGTGAAACCCAAAGTGTGGTTGGAAGGGAAGGGTTGGGTTTGGGAGGTGGTGTGAGGTTATGTGCGGTGGAAAGGGGGGGAGGGTGCAGGGGAGAAGGCATTCGACATTCAAAAGTCAAAATTTGGTTACAGAGAATCGCAGACCTCAGAACGGTCGCAACAAATTTTTGTTTTTTCGACGGGCTGCCCGTCCAGACGTACCGCGTATTTGTCCCCGTATCATGTTTTTCCGTTTATACGTGAACGCATAAACGTGATACGAAAAAGGGCCTAAGTGTTTTTGGCAACATAGCCCACGTGTTCCAATGTGTCGATCATTCGAGTATTTTGGCAAGAATGCTTGATGAACAGATTGTGAAGAATGAGGAATGAATGAACTAGGAAAGAGGTGGGTACAAGTAGGAAAACCTAGAAATGTTGTACTGTCAAACATTATATGTTTGTGTGGTTCTAGGCTGTAGTGGGTCACACCATAAGGGGTACACCAGATTAGGGTTTGACATATTTGTACTGTTGTTCCTGCTAGTCACTCCTCATTCTCGTTTCTCATTCTGACATGGTATTACGAGCCTAGGTTCCACCTAGGACCGAAACGATAGGGCCCACCGTTTCCGCTAGCAGCGCCCTCGTGCGCCGCCGTTCTTTTTCCTGCGCCTCGAGCGCCTCCTTCTCAAGGCCCCGTATGGCCCCGCGCTAGCCTCTCACGGCCCCCGATCGGCCCCGTGCTAACCTCCTAAGGCCCCCGTCGGCCCCACGCTAGCCCCGCGCTAGCCTCCTAAGGCCCCCGATCGGCCCCGCGCTAGCCTCCTAAGCCCCCGTCGGCCCCACGCTAGCCCCGCGCTAGCCTCCTAAGGCCCCCGATCGGCCCCGCGCTAGCCTCCTAAGGCCCCCGTCGGCCCCGCGCTAGCCTCCTAAGCCCCCGTCGGCCCCACGCTAGCCCCGCGCTAGCCTCCTAAGGCCCCCGATCGGCCCCGCGCTAGCCTCCTAAGGCCCCCGTCGGCCCCGCGCTAGCCTCCCACGGCCCCTGCAGGCCCCGCGCTAGCCTCTCACGGCCCCTTAAGGCCCCACGCTAGCCTCCCACATCCCCTGCAGGCCCCGCGCTAGCCTCTCACGGCCCCCCCCTTTGGCCCCGCGCTAGCCCCGACCGGCCCTCCCGCGCTCGCCCCTCTACGATCGAGCCGCACGGCGCGACCCGAACCGAACCGCGCGACCCAGCCGAGCCGCGCCGCCCCAGCCGAGCCGCGCCGCCCTAGCCGAGTCGCGCCGCCCTAGCCGAGTCGCGCCGCCCTAGCCGAGCCGCGCCGCCCTAGCCGAGCCGCGCCCTACTTACCTGTGCACAGCACTGCTACTGCTACTGCTACTGCTACTGCTACTGCTACTATCACCACTGCTTCTACTGCTACTTCAGCTATGGCTAGCCCTACAGTTCTCTCGTTCGATTCTGAGGGCCGCCCGATTAAGTTTGATACCTGGCTCGATGATCTGCACCTGTTCCTCCAGCTCACTGCCAGAGAGGATATCTCGCTGTACGATCACGCACTAGGCACAGTCCCTGCTCCTGCTACTACTGCTACCGCTACTGCTCGCTCGCAGTGGCAGACTCGCGATGCCCACGCCCGCTTTGCCATTCGCAACTCCCTGCCAGTCGATGAGCGTGAGCACTTCGGCTAGCATCAGACTGCGCAGGCCCTGTACACTGCTGTAGTTGCGCGCTACTCCTCCCCGGCCTCAGCTGCACTAGGCCGTCTCTCCCTTCCCTACCTGTTCCCCGACCTGTCCGCTTTCCAGACAGTCGCTGACCTCATCACTCACCTCCGTACTAGTGATGCCCGCTTCCGTGCAGCCATGCCCGCTGAGTTTCTTGCCTCCAACCCTCCCCCGCTCTGGCTCACTCTCTACCACCTAGTCACCCGCCTCCCTGACACTCTGCGTACAGTCAGGGACCACTTCCTAGCTCGCTGTCCCACTGAGCTCACCATTGCCGCCCTAGAGAAGGAACTACTTGCAACTGAGAAGAGTATTGTAGCTGTAGGTGCCTCTCGTGGCGACCCCCGCACCCCTTTCTTCGAGGGGTGTTCCCCCTCCCCCCTCCTCCCCTCTGTCGCCTCTGCTGCTGCTGTCGACCTTCTTGGTGCTGAGCAGGTCGGCTCTGCGTCCGCTCCCAGCGGGCGCCGGAGCGGCAAGGGCAGGGGAGGCAAGGGCGGTGGGGGTGACGGCGGGGGAGGTGGTGGTGGGGGTGGTGGCAGCGGCGGGGGCGGTGGCGGGGCTGGAGGGGCTAGTGGCAGCGGTGGGGGTGGTGGAGGCAGCGGCGGCGGCGGTGGCCGCGGTGGGGGCGGTGGTGGTGGCGGCAGTGGACGTGGCGGCGGCAGGGGCGGTGGTGGTCGTGGTGGAGGCGGCGGTGGTGGTCGTGGAGGCTCTGGCACTGGCCAGAGTGCGCAGCACCCTCAGTCCTCCTAGGAGCTTTGTGAGTGGTACTTACAGCACGGGGGTGGGGGGGGTAGCCTTAGCTGCACGTACGTCATCCGCACTGGTCGCCGCAAGGGACAGACGTGCGGGAGGGCGCACACTTCGCAGCGCTGCTTCTCTCGCCTAGATGACGCTTGGCGTGCTCAGTTTCCTGACGCTCCTGAGCTCCCTCAATGGGCTGATCTCCTCAAGAAGGATATCGATATCTATGCTCTTGATTTTGATGTTATTCTCAAAGCAATGTATGCATTGACTATTAGTGGAGAGGAGGACCAGTACCTGAGTGTTCCGCCTGACCCAGGCATCCGCACGAGTGAGGCTGCCGCCCTAGGTGCTTGCGTGTCTGCTACCCCAGGTACTGGTGAGGCTACTGCTCTAGGTGCGTGTGTGTCCGCCACCCCAGGTACTACTGAGTCCACTGAGGCACTGCACACCTTCACTCTAGACTCAGGCGCTTCGCGCTGTTTCTTTCGTGACCGCACTGCTCTTGAGCCCCTTGCTCGACCAGTCGCTGTCTCGCTCGCTGACCCCTCTGGGGGTCCAGTCATTGCGACCTCC